GTGGTTCTGACCATATCAGTCCTTTGCTTGAAACTGTCTGATCAATCTCCAGAGTTCTTCTTGTTCCCTAATAACTCTCTGGACATGGCTGCCAACTTTATTTGTTATTCCTCTTTATCTGGCTTCCTTGCTGTTCTTTGACATTAATAGGCCCATTGCATTTTCAGGGCTTTCTGTCTGTGGCCCTCTGTCTGGGCCACCTTAACCAGTAAAGCTGGGATCCCAACCAGACAAACTCCAGAGTCAGTGCTCTTAACCACTGCCATCACTCACCAACCCCATCACACCTATCATACCACGTGATACTGTATTATTTACCTTTCTGTTTATTTGGGCTTTTTTTTTTTCCTCTCCCACCAAAATCTGGCCTTGATAAGGAAAGGGACTTTATTTCATTCACCACACCATGCTGGCATATAATTGGCATACTAGAGCAACCTTAGCTGCCATCTGTGGTAAAATGGATCCCAAAAGGCCTCAAACCACATGATGTTTCAGAAAAAACCCTGTGCTAGGAATCAGGAAAACTTCTGGTAAGTAATGTGTTATAGGGAATGAATTCTATCCCCCTACAAATTTATATACTGAAGTCATAGCCCCAGTATCCTAGACTGCAACTTTATTTGGAAATAGGGGTATTGCAGATGTGATTAGTCAAAATGAAGTCACACTGGAGTAGGGTGGACTCTTAATCTTACATGACTGATGTCCTTATATAAAGGGGAAATTTGGGGACAGGCAATGTGAACTTGATGTCTGAGATTGGGGTGTTTCTTCTATAAGCCAAAATGCCAAAGATTGCTAGCAAGTGATTAGAAACTAGGGAGAGGCATAGAACAGAACCTCTCACAGCCCTGAAAAGGAACAGATGTTGACACCACCATGACCTTGGACTTCTAGCTTCCAGACTTGTGAGACAATACATATATGTGGTTTAAATTAATTGTCCACCCAGTTTGTGGTACTTGGTTACAGCAGACCTAGTACACTAAAACTCCTATGATTTCAGGTCACTGGCTATCTCTGGGCCTTAGTTTCTTTATTAGTGAAAAGGACCAGGTGATCTCTGAGGAATCTTTGGTTCTAAAATTGTATGACTTTATTATCCCAGGGTTCAAACACCACCAACATTGTTGTGGTTTGGAAAATCTTAGGCATGGGATTCCATTTTATTCTTGCATAAAATCACTTAGTTTAGTTGCATTTGACAAAGGTATGTTTGTTCCAGATACTGGATTGGGCACCAGAAGTTTAATAGGCAATAAGCATTTAATTTCAATGAGTTATATCATCTTTTGGAAAAGGACAAAGTCTTAATTTAAACATAAAGTGGTAGGTGTTAGTAATTGTAATGTCTCTTAGAACTTTATGTATATCAATTCATGCAATTCTCACAGCAACCACTCTAAATTAGGTACTATTATGATTATGACCACTTTATAGATGATAAAGCTAGTACAGGGGAGTTAAGTAAGTTGCCCAAGGTTACACAGCTAATTGGTGGCAAAATACTAGATATTCTGGGAGCTCAGGAAAGAGTCTTTATCCTAACTATGGGGATGAGCGAAGTTTCCTGTACAGGGACACTTGATCTGCCTCTTGAGGGATGAGGGAGAGAATCAGGTTGGAGAATTCTTGGCAAGTGAAACAACATGCTTATGCATGGATTGATAAATGTGATTTCACTTAGACCTGGGATCAGAGAGGTAGCAGAGGAAAGGTGGGAATAAAGCTGGACTTACTATGCCCATTTGACAGATTTATAATCCCCATTTTAGGGAAGCCCAGAGAGTAGGTGATAAGGATTGTACACTTAATAAATGGAGAAGCTAGGATTTGATTGCAGATCACAAATGTCCAGAATCCATGCCATAAACAACCTCCCTTCACTTGGCCTTCATTAGACTTACTTCTGGGAAGACCACAGAATTTATGCTGTTCTGTATGTGTAAGTGTGTGTGTTTCACTCCAATAGGAACCCTGACCGTTCCTAAGCCCATAAATCATCCTCAGTCTCCTATGCATTTTTTTTTTTAAACTTTTTTTTTTTTTTATTTGTTTGTTCGTTCGTTTTGTTTATACATGCACTGGGTACAGTCAGAAGCGCGGGAGGGTGAGAGAACTCACCAGAGCCAGAGCGGGGAGCAGAGCAGGCAGAAAGACCGAAGTACACTGCTGAGGGGAGCAGCGGGCGGCAGGAGAGGTCTGAGCGCCATGTGGGACCCTCCTCCAGTGGCCGGGGAGCAGCCGGGGATCGAACCGGCGCCGCAGAGATCGCCGGCAGCTTTGCAACTCAGCGCTCAACCGCTGCGCCACCGGGGAGGCCCTCCTATGCATTTTGTAAGCACTTGCTATCACCTTAACCTTGGCAATGATACTATAGTAATTTTTGCTTCTACAGTAGAGACAATGCCCTGTCCACCTTCATGTAGGAAGATGGTTACACTTATGGCCTGTTCTAAAACCCAGCTATTAATTTTCTTTTAGATTTATCTTCATGGTGGTTTTTCTGAGAACATAATTGTGATTTTGGGAGCTAAGAGATGAGGAGCAGAGCAGATTGCAAGGTCCTGGATTGTAGATTCTATTTTACTCATCTCTGATCTCTCCTCTCCTTTTTGTAACTGAATCATTACCTGGCCATATATGGGGGTATACAATGTTTGCAGATAGTTGGGGTCAAAGAAAGCTGCTATGGTTTGAATGTTTGTGTCACCTCTAAATTCACATTCATCTCCAAAATAGCCCCAAAGATGATGGTATTAGGAGGTGGGGCCCTTGGGCTCTTGGGAGGAGTTCGAATCTTGAAGGGGATCATGAAGGGCATCAGTGCCCTTGTAGAAGGTGTCCAGAGAGAACCTGCCTCCTTCACCCTATAAGGATGCAGAAAAAGGCACCAACGATGAAGCAAGAAGTGTTCCCTGACCTGAACGCGACAATACTTGCAACTTCATCTTTGACCTCCAGACCTTTGAAAAACAAATTTCTGTTGTTTTTAAGCTATCCAGGAAGTGGCATTTTCTTGTAACACTGTCAGTCCCAAGACAAAAGCCTTAGCTACAAGCATGTTTCTCTTTTCCAGAGCAATTCTCCACTTGATTACATAGAATTACCTGGAGGAAATTAAAAACATCTGATGCTCTGATTCTCCCAAGACCAAATCAAACAGAAATCTGGTGAGTGAGGGTAGAACCCAAACAGTAATACATTTTAAAAAGATTTACTGCCCTGGTGTAGGGGGCAGGAGGACACAGGGCAGGATCTCCATGACCCTAGAAGACGGGGTAAGGGAGGAGAGAGTCCTGGAGCCCTCAGTGGCTTTTGCAGGCTTTTATCGGGATTTGCCAGGTACACGGCTGGCAAGGGGTGCCAAGGGACAGGGAGCCTGCCAGCCTCCCAGCCCCCAGCAAGTCTTCACCCTGTCCGGGCTCTCCGGCCTTCTCTGGTGGTCTCTGCTTCTCTTCTCTATGCTCGTCGTGGTTCAACTCTCTGCTGGCGTCTCCGTGACGCCGCCCCTATAAGCCCAGTCTCTCAGCACAGATGAATCCCATCTACATATGCCCACACCCTACTCCAGGTGCCCACCATCAAGCATGCATTTGGGACCACAGTTCCGTCATCTATCCTCATGGCAGGAAAGCAGAAAAGCCTGATATTTTTTACCTTACTCTACACCTGGTTATTCACATTTTACAGCAGGGGTTAAGTACCACCTCTGTAGATACAGACATGCAAATATTTGGAAGTATTTACAGTTCCATATATTATAAAAGTAACACTCATGGTCGTTCTAGCCAATTTACTTCTGTCACTCTATCTGTAAAATCGGAAATGGAGAGTTGCAACTGGAAATCAGGATGGTGGCAACGTGCTATAAATACTAGCTCTGCAGCTAGTATTTATACCAGCAGATCAGCTGCTGCTGCAATGCTGGCTCACCTTTGTCTTTGCAAAGAAATACAGTAACCAGTTTTTTGAGTGGAGTTCACCTCCAGCAGGTGGTTCACCTCTTACTGGTCACAAACCACTTGTTTTGGTTAAAATACCATGGGCTGTTAGCAGCCTTTTCCCCACCCCCACCCCACCCCGCCCTCACCCCCAACACACATTTCTCGGAATAAAAATGTTGTAAAGCTGACTCTAAAATTTCAACATTTGTTTTGCTCATGTTATTTATATAGTTCTTTCCAGAAAGAAAAGCACCCATATGATCAACGGGAGATGCAAGGAGCTCCGAGAAGATCATGAGTCAACTAGGGGGCTATGGATTGTGATTTAAGATATGTCCTTAAACCTCAGATTCTTCATGTGTCAAATGAATATGAGACTGGTGATTACATTAAGCTAACGTTCTATGATTCTGACTCACTTTTCTAGAGGACCCAGCCAAGTTGGAGAGTCCCTTTATTTACTGAGCAGATTAAACTCTTTAGATTCTTAAAGCGCTCATGTTTGTTGTTGTTGTTGTTGTTTTTTTCACCATCTCCCTTCCCTTCCTGCCCCCTGCACCTGGCAAACAGTTGCTAAGAGAATGTGAAATGTTCCAAGTTAGGGGACTTTTTGGACACAGATTCTGAAACTTCAGTTTTGCTGTTGGCCAGGCAAAGTTCTTGCTTTTCTTTGTGAGGTAAGGTAGGAGAGAAGAGAAAGAAAGAGCAGCTTTTACTACATCAGAAATAACTGAAATAATTAGGCCTGCAGTCTAATCTAATCATGCTTTTGTTTATTCACCTCATATAAAAGTTTCTTAAGAATGCATTTGAGCACAATATATAATAACACTATAACATACATTGTGAGATTTGAAAACAATAAAATGTCCACCTGAAATAATGCAGTGTTCATAGACATACAAACCCATTGGTCATGCACATTTGTGCCATTTCTGTAAGTATGGGGTCACAATGCTGAACTGAAAGCATGAAACACATTTTACAAACTGAGACTGAAGTCAGTGAGAGGCCTAAGTGTTATCAGAAGCTTCACATTTGCATAATTTACTACATCAGTTCACATTGTATTATAAGATTCACATTGTTTTATTGTTTTCTTTTGTAATTAATTGGAACACGACGTTCCTGCTTAATGGCAGGCAGAAGGCTTTCTCTCCAAAGTCAGTAGTTTGGGAACACTCAGGAGAACCATCCGTGAGCAAATGTAGTGTTGCTTTTTAAACCAAAACCACAATTATAGTAGAACCCACTTATAACCCAACTTATGTGTACACAGATTTGGACAGAACATGGGTAAAAACCACATCCCTCTGCTCCCTACCCCTATCAAACTATACAAAAGTAAAAGCTCGGTATAAACCACTTAGTATCTAATGTGAGAATCCTATTTCCAAAATCACTTCATAAAGGGGTTGAGCAGTATTAGCGACTCAGACTAAGAAAAGGGCAGACTCCAATAAAAGCCCACGGGTGCCCTCACTGCGGGGCTGTATGTCTCTCCATAGTGACCTTCAGGTTATATAATACACAATACAAAACGTTACAAGAAAAGTCGCAACTCTTAGGCAGAGTTTTCTACACAAATGTAACACCACCATTGGCAGGCAATGTTAGGTATATAAATTAATAACTTACAAAACATTACATTATATACATGAAGTAATAAATACACCGTTATAAACAGAAATGGAGGTGTTAGCATGGTAGGCAGTGCAAGAGAAAGATGGCAGCATTAAATTGAAAACAGTGTGATCAGTATGAGAATGAAGTTGGGGCGGGCTGGGGGCCAGTGGCACCCCACTGCAGAGGGGTTTAGGGCACTGCACCGGGGTGCAGGGCTTCAGGAGTTTACAGACTCTGACTGACTGGCAGGACAGTCCCCTCTTCTCCCTTAGCTTCTTCAACTTTATTATGTTTACAAAAAAAAAAAAGGGGACTGTAAAGGAGAAGAAATTCTGCTCAGAGCAGGCTGGATAAGCTAAAAGGAGCTGGTTGGGACACTAGGGAGCAGAAAATAGGAGGTGGTTACAAGTGTATCCTTTCTCTTTGCAAAAGTAACTGTAGTAAAGTGAAAGATATTGCCCAAGAAAAAAGGAAGACCATTTTCTTTCCTTTTTTTTTTTTTTTCCAGAAAGAGTCAAAAAGATTATGTCAACTTTGAATACTTATCTGTGGAGAAGTTGTTACTAAACTCTTGGTATTCAACAGGCATTTTAAAGACATGAAAATGTTTTACAAAAAAGGCACACAGGTTGGCAGACAAGAGGACAAGGTGAGCAGATTTGTAAATGGAGTTATTAGCTAGTCAGTTCAGTCACTAGTAGGGACAGAGTCCCCAAACTTAGTGCAGAAAAATCTCTCAGTTTTGTGTCTTCCATTTTCAAGCCATTTAGTTGTGACCCCAACTTGGCCTCCAGTACCACATAAAGCTTCAGTTCCCCACCAAGCTTGCAAATGAGGCAAGTCAACTGTGGGATTTCCTGAGCTGCTATTCGCTTCATGGTATTACATTCTGGCTCCAAACTCAAGTAACTGGAAAGGCCACGTGGCCCCTGTCCTGTGCAGGCCTTGGCCCCCGCGGCAGGCTGGCCCTGCCATACAGCCGGCATGCTTGTCAAGGATGGAATGTTCATCTCCACATGGAGAGGGGGATTATGTGTCGATCGGTGACTTGTCTTCTGTCTCGATGTCTACCTCAGTCTCTCCCAGGGAATCTCTATGTTCTGGATCGATCACACAGAGGGTCTTTGTGCTGCTGAAATAGTTGTGGCCCTCACCCTCCTTTTCAGGTCCTTCAGAATCTTCCTCTTCAAGAGTCAGTTCAAACTGAAACTTCTCCATCAGACCCTGGCAGTCTCTATTCTGCTCGTCCAATGGTGGAGAAGGACTCTGGGGTATCATGCTCTGATACCAGTTCCTGTTATCTTCTAACGTATCCAGAATGTCCTGGGCATCAGGCTGTACCAGATCTGCCCAGGTCTCCCACAGTGGATGGACGATGTAGTCAATGAAACCAACCTGGAGAAAAGCAAGGTTACACATCTGTTATTCTCATGGGGCTCTGAAAGCATGCAAAACATGCAAAGAAAGAGCAATAACAACTCAAGAGGGATTGATAACAATGCAGTCTATGATATGAGCACCTACAATATGCTATGTCCTGGACTGGGTGCAATATATGCATTATGGCTCTTCATCTCCCCAAAGTAAATACTGTTAACCACATTGACAAAGAATGAAACTAAGACTCAGTAAGATGAAATATCTTGTCAGACGTCACAGAACCAGTAAGTAGTGGCTCTGGGACTCAGTCCCAGCTCAGTCTGGTTCCAAAGCCTGCATTTGTCTCACTACAACTGATTACTTTTCCTTTTATGTTTGCCAGATAAGAAGTCTGGATGTAGCCCTGACTGGGAATAACTCTGTCACTAACTTGGATTCTCTGAGTCATTCTCTGATGAAGGAAGCCCCAGGTCTAATGAGCTTTGACTCAACATTCTTTCCCTGATAACTTTAAAATGTGCCTCTGCTCCAAAATGAAGAGGAGCTGGCCTCTGACTACTCTGAAATTTTCCAAGTTCTGTGGGATGCGTTTGGTTTGTAGGGGAGTATGGTAAAACACTTGAACATACTTCAAGTCCCTAAACAAACAAATAACCCCTCAGTGGACACGTCTGCATTGTTTTAGATCCATAGGGTGCACAATCATTTCCATAGGGAGAAAGAAGGGAAAATAAAAACAATTAAGCAGTTCCTTTGCTAGTGTTCCTGTGAATAAATATAAGACTTATGGCTCTGTTATGGTTTACACGGTGGTTATGCATCCTGCATGAGCGGTCTCCGTGGCCTTACACTGACCTCTCCATTGTCGGACAAACAGGAAATGTTGGGGGTGGGGGTGGGTTGAAAGAAAGAATAGGTACTAGTTGAATGAGAGAATGGAATTCCCCTGTCATGGTCTGGGCTGCTGGAGAGATCCTAAGTCCAGATTTAGAGGGAGATGAACAAAGGTAACTCATTTGCATCCATGGCACATTATAATATAGCTACCTTTACACACTAATGGAAACTTTCCTTTATTACCATTTTGGTTTCTGACCAGCCATTTAACACATCAAAGTTGTACCATATCTAAGATCCTTAGTCACATGTCACTCTTTTCCATCTATCTATCCATTCATCCACCCACCCACCCACCCATCCATCCATATATCTTCTATCATTTTTTCATCTGGTGCTTCCCTAGCCTTTACAAACAGAATTCACACCAAAGTTGGGCATCTCTGATCTGCATTGGTTATAAGAACTTGATTGTGGATGATTTAGACATTTCTCTTGCTTCCACTTTACTACTTTGTCCTCTCTTTCTTTTCTTTATGTTTAATGTATTCTAAAGACTATTTTTAAAGTTTTCCAAGGACTCCCAAAAAACAAGCTCAAGAGAATACTATCTATCAGCTGAATTTATTTCCTTTTTTCACCTGTTTTGCTATTGCTAAATACTCAGCATTGTGGGTTTATTTTCTAAAGGTGGTCCTAGTTCCTTATATCTTAGGTTCTGGAGTGAGAGAGTTCAACTAACCCTAAGAGCATCTAGCCAAGGGCTTTATTACCCGACTACTCAGACAATGTCCACAAAGGTTCATTGGTGGAAAACACCAGAGTGGACCATGATGTCATGGCAACTGGGGACCTGTCCACAGTGATGAAGAGCGAAGGGCTTTGGAGAAAGGGAAGTTGGGGCACTAGAAAGCTAATGATCTGGATGAGGAGGGCAGCTTCTTCATCTGACACATAAGGAGCAATTGCTGGATCTCACGAGGTTGCTTAGAGGCTCAAATAGGAAACTATGAGAAAATATATGGGAAACCATACATAATACCATATAAGTACAAAGCTTTACTGTTGTTAATAAATTAAGAGCATTATTCTTATAAATGTATTATGCATGTAGGTATGCATTTTTATGTCTACATGTATTATTCTACTTAAGGCTTGAAGGCCTTTGAATTGGCCCTGACTAAGCTGAATCGAGCATTTTATGGCATATTAGAATTTAGAGCACTTTCACAGATTTGAAACTCATTTAATTGGGTTTCTTTAAGAAGCAACAAAATAATATTTGCAAAGGAACTACACATTGATATTATAAGTGTATATAAATTTGAGGGTGGCAGGTAGTGTTGGAAGAGGGTCAAAACTAACAAAAAAAATTCTGAAAACTTTTGTATTTAGAAACTATAAACTATAAACTCATTCTCAATCATGACCGCCTGGGCAGGCCACTTGTCCCGAAAAAAAAAAAAAAAAATTAGTAGGTCTTAAAAATATCAGAGGTATAGATGGAACCTCGGAAGAGATTATAGTTCAGGAATTCAAATGTGGGGCAGAAGATATGTGTGGGAATAAGACCCACTACCTCTGGTAGTGGAATTCCCCTGTCATGGAATTCCCACTACCTCTGGTAGTGGCAGTACTTGACTATGGAGAGACAGCAAATGGGGTGCAGAAAACAAGGATGTAGAGTAGATCTCTTAGATAAAGATAGAACTAGGAGAAATCTGGAAGGAGGAGGTGAGGAGAAAGCAACATTCAGTTCAATATGAATGAATTCAATATTCAGCTGCACATGCTAAAGGCACAGGCAACCCTCTGAACTGTTTGAGATACACGGACTGAACTTCGATGGACTTTTGATGACTACTTTATCTCTACCCTGTGAAACAGAGTGGAGAAAGCAAATGAGTCACGAGTATAATGGAACTAAATGGATAGTTACTTCCTTTTATTTCATATGCTGTTAAAAGAAGGGTACTAAATGGAAGCTTCTACTTCTATAATCTGCAGAGCTTATGAAAACTTTGAAAACCTTATATTAAATACCTGGGATTTTTCCACAGAAGCTGTGTGCTTATCACACATTGGGCTAATCTCCATTCCTCTCTCCCGCTCTTTGTCTCCTTGCTGGAAAAATTCCTCCATGATGCGGTCTGTCCATTGCCGATATAATTCCAAGGACTTGGTGGGGTTGCTCAGGTCTGCACAGTGTACCATGTTGCGAAGGACCTGGAATCATCAAGTTTTGGAAATCCCATAAAATTAGTTATAAAAACAGCAGAACATCTCACCCTTCTTGTACTAGTACACTTGGTACCAAATCCAAACCCAATTTTAGTTGCATTATAATTACGGTATGTGCACCAAAAAAACAGTATTACAATGACACTGGCCAGAATTGGTTATTTACTATTATAAGAATCCCAAAAGGGAAAATGTGTGCCTTCTTAGATTGACAGTCACTCAATTTGAAAAATGGAAAGGACATTAGAGGTCAGATTCTGCCAGCATTTCCTTTCCTCAGTTTGGAAAAAATGCAAAGAATTATTCAAAGTAGATGTCTTCATATTTTCCACTTGTGGAAAGAGTTGATGACAATTTGTAAAACCAAGAGAGACCTAACAAACGTCTTGTCAACAGGAAGAATATCCAAACACAAGTTTGGGGACCAGTCGTCACGTATGCTCTGTTACGAGGCGATTTTGCCAGTTATTTTTAGAAAGAAACAATCCAATAAATAGGGTTATGTTTTTCTTCATAAATGAGAATGTCCTATTCTCCTTAGTTTGTTCTTAAAATAAGCTACAGACTGTAGCAGTAATCTAGGGCAACTACGTGAACTTGTTTCTTTTTTATTTTTTAATTGTTGTTTGGTTTGGCTTTGTGTTAAACCCAAGGCTTTCATCAAATACCTGTATGCGATCAGTGTAGTTGTCCAGGAGGAGAACGCCTGAACTTGTCACTTTCTTTGTTTCTACCATGGTCTTCAGGTCTGCCAGCAGGCTCATGTGTTTGGACATATCGGTTGCTAACACCTTAGGTAAAAAGAAAGGAAAACGCTCAATAAACTCAATTTGTCAAAGAGAATGGAGCTGCTCCTTCTGCAAAGGTAAAGTAAGGAAGGAATGGAGAGAAGCTGAAATCTTACCATGTCAATAACCATTTTCCTGAGTGTCTGACGCTGCTTCTTGGTGAGATTCTGAAAGATGTCACAATGTTCTTCTTGTAGCAGTTTGAAACCCACAGCGAGGTGATGGTTTTCCAACACAGATTCATCATTATACATCAAAGCAAGTTCTGAATCTAATAAAGAAGTAGAGGAAATGATGACTTAATAAAAAGGAATACAATTCAAACATTGGCATTACCTCAATGAAATGAGATCTAGTACTCTCTAGATGATTTCAAGAACCAAGATCCACATATGTCACTTGCCCTTAAGAAAAAGTAGCCCTCTCCAAAGGGATGTAGCCAGTTTCTCAGGGGAAAAAAAAAAAGCTTCACGTAACTATAAGAGCATAAGCTTGCTCTTTGGTTAACACTGACATTATTTTAAAATCCCTTTTTATCTTCTTTATTTCAGATGAAGAATTTGACATTAGATAAGGGCATTTCCAAGCAACTAATTCTTATTTGTATCTCAGTGTGTAATTTCCTTTACATCTTCCCACATTTTGGGCTTTGGAAAAAAAAAAAAAAAACAAAAATGCCACGAAACTTCATCAAATGCATTAAGGTTTCAAGCTACAGTCTCTATTTTAATATGTTCCCCAGCTCTGTCAATTGTGAGTTCTGAATTTTTGAAGAAGATAATGGTGTGAGTGCAAAACATCATTTTATCCAAATAATGTAGCTTTTTAGAGCTGTCTATAAATATAATTGTAAACTTTAGTGGTTTTGTGGAATCGTCTTGATGTCAAATTTTCTGCTGTCTGATCCTGCAATAGCTAACTACCTAACTATACCTTCCTGCCTGCCTTTCACACCAGAATCACAGATATCTTTCATTAGAACCTGGTCTGCAATTGAGAACATGGTCATTGAACTCATGAAACCACATTTTTTCTTTTAATCAAGGACATAGCCAAGTGATGGCAATGTGTCACTAATTGCAGGTTAGAAATACTATTGTTTTAACTGAGTGTTTTGAATTACAGCTTCAGAAAAGGTGGTGGGATAGAAGTCATTTCATCATCCATGCCCTATTTATCCTGTGAACAAGGGTACAGTTTTGCAAGTCAGCTTTATATACTATAGTGCTGTAAGTGGCTATAGCAGAAACACAATTTGTCTGTATGAATCAACTGGTCTATAGCTACACTGATTTATGACACCACATTATGCCAGCCGATACAACCCATGTAGAGAAATAGTTGTCCAAAGTTTATGTTCTTCCAAAAGAGAAACAAGGTTAAAAAAAATGTACCCCACACCTAAATCACCCATATATTCTGTTGATAAAATATGAATAGGACTCCTATATCAAGCCATTTAAACATTTCTATAGAACTGTCAGCACTTGTTAATCATTATCACAAAGGGCTGACCAATATTCTTAAAAGAGAAAGCACTTGCATTCTCAGTATTTAGAACTGGTGCATTAACTGAGCAAATTCGAGGATTTTCATTATCATGGACACCTAACATTTTGAGCATGACAAAAGCTTTGGGTGTGGCTTGGGATCCTAAGGCTGGTCAAGCCCTAAAGGTCACTGAGGTCATCCTCCCTGCTCTAAACCAATCGATGGTCATCAACTCTATGCAGTTAGAAGAGAGTGTGGGACTTTTAATGACCCTCCTGAATTTTGGAGACACATCCCAGTGCTATTTTTGGCATCTTATTTCTGTTTGGAGGTTCCCATACTCAGATACAACATTTGGACCTACTTCCTCAGTAGAGAGGGACAGTGGAGGGTCACTGAGCTCTATGTGAGAGCCCTGCATAATACTAAAAATCATTATCTCATTGTCCTCAGCTCTTTCCTCATGCTTACTGGACAATTCCACATCAGTTACTCCATTCTCACATATTGTATTTCCCAAACACTGAATACTTTTTATAGCTCCTCTGACCCTTTCCAAGTTTACCATGCAGCTCCAAAATTTGTTGCCAGACTGGACACAGTATACAGGAAAGGTCTGACCAGTTTGAGAGGAATGGAAGGATTACCTCATTATTACCCTTATTATTATCCAAAATGAAAACATTAGAAGGAAAAAAATTAAGTAGTGAATCATGTAATTATCTTGAATGACTGTTTTAGGGGTGAACTCACTTGTGTTGATGAGAAACTGATTAGAGACTCCAGGATGATCAACGTCATGGATGGCAGCTGCAAAAATGGCGGCCAGGATTTCCAAATCTGTGAAGACGGCCTGCAGAGCAAAAGAAGTGCTTTGAATAACTCCATGCCCCATTTGCCCCTCCTACTTATTTAGTTTCATATTAAAGCATCCCATTTCTTTCTTGTTGGGAGGATTGCTTATTGAATTATATAATGCCCCCCAATACTAATTTACTTAAAGGTAGATTTTGTCCATCATCATAAGGTCTCCTGTGAAAGGGCTGATGACTGGAAGCCATGCCCACATCAAGCCTGCAGGCGAAGTCTGAGGGAGGCATTAGCACAATACTCTGGTGAGTGATCAGATGTTGCCTGATGTTTGTTTCTTGTGTAAGTGGTATGGCAAGATGGTGCTTATATAACACAAGCACATACATGTCAAAAGGAGCGAGTCAAACTGGCTCTGCTCTAAGATAGAACAACCTGCATGTGTTTTCAGGCTGAGTAACTTCAAGAATAAAGGCCAAATTCCAGGTTCGCAAGACTGACAAGACACTATTTCCCAAAGCTAAATTTATAGTGTTTTCCGAGGCTTTCCTACAGTCATTTTTTTCATCCACTTATTCAATATCTATCCATTAAATGTTTACTATAGGTAAGATTTAAGAACATTTTTAACAAGTAAAACCTAGCACCCTGCTGCTCAATTCCTTCAGGCCATGCAGGGAAGCTTCCTTTGCCCCCACTTGCACACAATAATTTAAACCTCATGTTTATTTAGGTACATATTGCTGCTCACTGACAAGTCTTTCTTTGGCTGAAATGTCTTTCTTTATCCTCTGTGATTGCTAAAACCTTCTGATACTTCAAATGCCAGCTCAGTTTCCACTTTTCCCACGAAGAACAATCAAACTACTCAACAAAACATTGAATCCCTCTTCTCCAAAAATTTATTGCAATCTTGGTCAATTTCTTGTTAATTAGTAGGTGCCTATCAACAACAGAGGAGAGCTGATAAACAGTGTTGGCCTACTCTGTGATACTTTTATAGAATTTAAAAATAATACTGTTTTTTTTTTTTCCTTCAGGGGGATAAAAGAGTCTTAGCTTCATCTCATTTTCCCAAGTGATCTTAGAGTTCTATTTTTTAGAAAATATAGAACCAAAGCAATAGTGTTTGGGCAGCTTAATCTCTCTTCACCTTCCAGCCTGAACCTGCAAAGTGGAGCAGGATAGGGCATGGCTGGGCCCTTCTGGTAGTGAGCCTGCACATGTGGATGCCTAACCCCCACTGCCACCTGTCCAGGAAAAGAATGCCTCTGGGCACATTGCTGCTTATACTGGTAAACACAATGCATTTAATTTGTAAAGGAAAGAATCACAGCCACCTTCTCTGAGATGTCTAGCAAAATGGAATACGGGCCTTCTATGCTTCAGCATGATTTATTCCTCAGTTCTAGAATTATCAGCTACTTTTTCTTCAATCCTTAGAATCAATTTTATGAATTCTTAAGAGCATAGGCCTGTGTGTATTTATTCCTAAGAGGAATTATACAGAATACTTTATGCTTCTGTGCTATCTTTCACAGTGCCTGAGGCCATGGGGGCAATTTAGTATATGCATATTGAGAATATACTCTATACCAGACATTGAACTAGATACTTCTTAGATACAAGAGATACAAAGAAAAGTAAAGCATTCTTTTAATTGTTTGATCATTAAATATTTTTTTTTTCAATTGTAAGAGGTACAAATAATGTTACTTGTTACTCTGATATTAGAAAGCAAAGTAAATAGAAATGTCATTCATTTTTACTGAGAGATACTATATATATATATAAAATGAGTTCAGGCATGCAGTCATCTAATTATATTATTTTAATATATTATAGGTTGTTACTTTTTAAAGAGGATGGGGAGGTGTGCATAATAGATTATAATCACTCACATCTAGGGCTGGTGTAGAGAGAAGAACATGGGTTGACTGGGCAACATCAGCAGCATGCAGGCTGTTGTGATAGGCCACATCTGAATGGTAATGGTCTTCTAAAGTCATCATGTAGGTGACAAATGTGTCAGATGAGATTTTGAATGTCTTCAGGAGGTCTCTTTCCTACGTAGTAAAATGGATCAAAAAATAGGTAAGTAGATGTCAAGCAATGGAGAAAAGTCACATCAGAAAAGTAAACTAGGATGAAGAAAAATCAGTCATCCAGTTGCATAAGTGACATTCTTTCCTGCTCACTCACCTGGAATATGGCATACATGATGCATGTTAGGGGTCTGTTGTGTGAATATCCAGCCACATTGAAGATGTTAAGTCCCCATTTGTTCAGGTCTTCTAACTCCTGCAATCAAAATTAGAGAAATCTAGGAATTAGAATAACAGTCCTCACTATTTTTATTTATTTTTTGGAACAAGACGGCTTAAGTGTTTAGAATATCTATTTAGAGTGCTCTAATAGCAGGAAATCTGAAAATGGAGTGGTCTAGGATGGCTGGGTGTTCTAGTCATACCAGTTCCAAGTTTCTGTATATGTTTTCAGAAAAGAGTGTGAGTTTATCTATGAATTTCATTGTTGGTCTCCATTTCCCATCTGCCAGTCTTCAACCAACGGTGATTTCAGAGGTAGATGCAAGTGGTGAGAGATCAAGCTAGCCCATTTTCCTGTCTCTCCCTCTTGCTGTTCACTGGACCACTAGTAACAGCTAGAAAAGAATGTCAGAGAAACTCCTCTACCCTTTGCTTATCATCACTAAGAGAACAACAGAGACTCAGCTGCTAGAATGTGTCTAAGTCAAGCTTAATTTAATGGAAAAAGCTGTGAAGAATGCAAGTCTTGATCATATCCTAGAGCTCCTGGGCCATAGGTGGACCTGAGAGAAACATCATTTAATCTTGTGTTGTGAGATTATCCCAAGGTTCTATGATTAAAGGAACAGTTTATTCAATTTTAATTACTGCTCAGAGTATGGGATCCAGGCTCTCCCAAAAGGGTTGGCCCACTATTGAGTCACCCTTACTCTAAAGACATCTTTCAGAAGATCCCACTAAATGTTCATGTGTAACTCCCTTCATATTTCAAGGCTCAGAGGACCTCAACAGCCATCTTGTGTAACCTAGAAGATGTATGAATTTTTTCTGTGTCTTACTTTATACTACTGGGATTTGGGCTCAAAAATCAATCATTTCTTTCATTTCTTCTCCAGCTATCTCAAGCAGGGCAGATTTTCCCATAGGTCCTTGAAATGTCTTCTGGGATCATTTAATCTTGCCTACTAGCCTCTCCTCAGATTCTCTCAGTGTGCCTTCAGCAGGATTCTCCATCAAGAGCTAATGACCCAAACTCAGAATAGGGTCTTTTTATTAGGTACTGGCAATGGACCAAAAGGCCACATCAGCCTCCTCAAAAAATTTAGTAATAAACGAATAAACCAACCTATTTTCTATAGGTATTTTGAAGCATTGCCTGCTACAAAGCAGAGAGCTACATGTACACACATCCTCAGCCCATATTCACCTTGGCCAGATGATCTTCATTTTCTGTGTTGACTCCGAAGCGTGAGATGCTTGTATTGTTTAAACTTGAACTGTGCATCAATTTCTTCACCCCGCTTATCTGTGTCATGAGTTGTTGCTTTTTCTTCTTCTCCCTGTCTTTCTGGGTGGGAGATGGAATCTCCACATCATTCTGCTTGTCTGCAACAAAGGGACATGTTTTTAGTGCATATGTGCCAGTGGGAACCCACTGTCATATTAAAAGCCACTTCCAATGATTTGTAACGGGCCCTGCATCTTCTGAAGGACTGTCCTAGCAGTACCTCCTTTGCCTCCAGGACAATCCAGTGAGGTAGATGGGGGAAAATAATGGTAAATTTTATTGCTCCATTTTTTTGCTAAACAAAAATGAAGCTCAGAGGAAAGAGATAAGAGAAATAACTTGTTCAAGAAGTGCAGAGGTAGAACTCAACCCCAGATCTTCTGTTTGCAGTATAACTTAGAAGAATCACACACATTTTCAAAGTGGGGCACATGCAGATTTTTTTATTAAAGTTAATAACTTGTGTGTTTGCATAATAGAAAAGGCACATGTAGTCAAGTCCAGATTAATAATAACAGGTTTTATGTTCTGTTCATTTTATTATATTTGGATTTATTTCTGACTTAAATCAATATAAATTTAGCAGGGTTCAGCTTGGCTGAGAAGCATGCATGTTAGAGAAATAAATGTTTTATAATCTTTAAATCTCCATTTGAGGCTTAGAGGAAGACTATATTTTCAGTTTTACTTCATGTCTTATTCTACTAATTCTACCACTAAATAATAAATACAATGCCTCTCCTGAAATAGGATTACATTCATTAAAATATGCTCATTAAATATTTATGGCATCTCATTTTATCTTTTAAAAATTCTGCTCCAAGGTAGTGGAATTGAGATTAGAGGGGAAAAAAATGTGTATACCACTTGTAGAAGCTCTTTCCTTGATATTATACTATTGAAAATATCAGCTATCAAATATTCTATTTTTATGTCACCTGGGGCTATATCCTGAGCAATTTTGAAAAATATATTAACTTTTTCAGGCCACAGGGATGCCTGTGAGTGCAGAGAAAATGCTTTATTAAATTGTTTTAACAACTACTTCAGTGAAGTAAATGATTCCCTGTGGTTGAAAGAGTTAATGTAGCTTTCAAAAGTTTCTACATTTATCTCTACTTGTTACAGTGAAAATAAGTATAAAGGCAACATTTCCATTTGAAAATGACATGCTTCCAGATGGCATGCTGGTATCTAGACTATTTGCTTTCAACTCTAGCACATGAGGGCACAGTCACATTTTCCCCAGGGACCTCCACCTGCTCACAATACATAGAAGCAAAGCAAGGACAGGGAGACAGAAGTAGCCATGATAGCATAATATCAAGTACACTCAACCCTGGCTGCAGGGCTGGAGCAAGGATGTTCTGCATCCCTAACATTTCAGTATTGTCTCTGGGTGCCCAAACCCCTTAGATTCACAGGCCAATGGCTTTTGCTTAGGGAGGAATTTTAATGATGACCTCCATTAATTTAGGAGTTTCCAGGCTGGTTTCATATCAGAAGCACTTAGGGAACTTTCAAAAAATACAGAATTATGAGCCCCACCCAATCCTACTGAATCGGTAATTTTTAAAAAGATTCCCAAGTGATTCTGACCATCAGAGCCAGATTTGGGAACCAGTTATAATCCCACTCTCTTACTTTTCCGATGAAACCAGCAACTTGCTCAAGCTCAAAGGACAATTTATTCAACAGATATTTATTTTACAATTACTTAGTTCCAGACACAGTGATTCAATAGCATAGAATCCAGGCCTTGAAGTTCCTATTAAAAATCTCTTTCCTGTCTCACAATCTCTGGCAGAAAACACTAGATATTATATTATTTTTGAAACTACTTTTCTCTGTCACTTCACTCCTAATAACTACTACTTTTTGCTAAAATGAAAGAACACCATTCTTCATGTCTGGTTAGAGGCTGTTAGATTCTCCTGTGCCACTGCAGATATAAAGGCCTCTAGCGGAACTAATAGCTCTTTGCCTTTGTTTAATTAAAGATTCCTTGCAAAAAGTGAGTAATTGAGTCAAATCACTACTGTGTCTGGAACATTACTATAAAGAAGAAGGCCATTATTCACAGAGCACCAATCTGACATTAATGGGTGTTTCCCTGTGCAGGCATTGGAACAACTGAGAGGTTTCCCTATTCTGAATTTCCTCTGTTAAATGCTTAGCCAGCGCACTGCGGAAATAACCTGAAATACAGACTCAAAGAATCACAATAAACACTTAGGGGATTTACAGTTACAGAATGGTCAGAACACAGTGGGGAAAGAGTGGGCCAGCAGAAAACAAATAAACAAAAACCCAGATGCCAAAAAATGATCACGTCAAAACTGTTAATGGTATAATTTGAGGTGCCTTCCTGACGAGATCACAGCACTTAATTCTTAAGGTCTTTCTCATCTGTCTTGAAAATTTTACGCTTTATGTTTGAGATGGTAAGTAGGAGAATTCAAAGTATTAAAATATCCTCTTAAAATACCAACTAAATTGTAATATCACATCTACATATCTTGCTTTGTCTGTGCTTCCTCCCTTTGGCTCCTGCTTCATTTGTTCTCGTACCATCAACCTGGAGCCCATTATGAAGGTATCAGTAAGTAATTGCATTTGGTATGTTGCCTCTTGCCTGCCTTTTGGTTTGTCTACCTGGACCTCGTCGTTTTAGATGGAAATGACACAGGTTTCACAGGCGTGGAATTCCCTCTTCCTAGATGACACAATTTTAACATTCAATGACTTATTGAGGTGCTGCTCTTTGTGATTAGCTTAAATCATTAAGATCTGCCTATTTTCTCACTGAGATGGCTACCATGCTTTATAAGAGCCTTGCATATTTCCGGAAACTTAATATTTTATTTTTAGGGCCAACAACCCTTGTTTCTAAAGACCTCTTCAAAAGAAAACACATATTACTTACATATCCCTACATGTGGTTTTCTTCTATGTGTTCTAAGTTCCTAAGTTAAAAAGGGACAGGGCATTTAGGTCCAGGAGTCAAGAGAGCAGTCTGAGGACTGGGTCAGGAACATATTGGCCAAATGATTTTGGTCAAGTTACTTTTCCTTTCTGGGCATCAGTTTTCTGTCTTGTAAAATGTGAAAACTGGACTATGAATCCATTAACATCCCTAGCACATCTGAGAGTATATGAAAAAGTCTTCATTGTCCTCCAGGAATATTCACCATTCTCATAAGACAGGACTAAGAATTTCATATCTTGCATATGCAGTTTGAAAAAAAGCTTTGTTTGTTTCCTTTTCAAGATCACCAAATTGCAAGCCCAGGGTCCACCACAGAGAATCCAGATTGCCAGGTATGTCTTAGCAAAACAGATAAACTCCATATATATCAGAGCCATAGAATTTTGAATTGGAAGTGATTTGGGATGTCATTTATTCAAGTGCACCCATTGTACAGATGAGGCAACTGATGCATCTTTGTTTTAAAGAACTATTTCTTTTCTCCCTATATTTTTTCCAGGAATGTTTAAATTTTAACCTGGTCTACCTTGCACATGGTCTACCTTGCACATGCACACATACACATCACACTCCTAATGCTAAAAATCTGTAAGGATTGAGAATTTAATAACCCTCCTGATAATTTAATTTTGGAATAGTCAGAAAGCAAATGACTAGGTTTCATCAAGAGAGGTACCTAAACAGCAAATGGAATATTCAAGAGAGCCTTTACATTTGCCTGTTTTGAGAAATAAAGCGTTGAGACTGAGACTTCCCTTTATAATCTTATTAGCTTTCTGGCTTGATAGCCTTTGATGATAAAAGGAACAAAAGGATATTGACATGTTGAAATAGTCTTGTCCTTGGTAGGCAGAGAGTGAAAGAGACTACAATGAAGTGAACTGCTTAGGTGCAGGCTTGTATGAGTAGGGGCTCAGGGACTAACTTAACTCTGTAGTGAAGAGTCTTTGACAAAACAAAAACCCTGGCATTTTTAAAAGCAATGTTTATGAAAAGAGAAATGCATTCTTGCACTTAATGATTTTATTTTTTCTCTCCCATAATCAATACTTTATAAAATGTCCCTAAACACTCCCTGACTTATACAAAATAATTGGATGTTGCACAGATAGGAATAGATCAGAAATGGACAGCAAAGATGCCTGGTTTCAAAAGGAAAAAAGGAGAGTTTCAGTAGAGACAAAATGGATCAGTATATAATGCTTTCTGTTCAATTAGATTCTAGCTACTTCTTAGAGCTAGAAGTATGATAAATTCTCCTCCGACTAAGGTTGTCCCAACTGCAAGTGGAGAAAACCAAGAGCTGCAGACACCACATACTGGAAGCAGTTGAAAAGGCACTTGTCATTTTGTGCTGTGCCCACTTACTGCAGAGTAATGCCATGAGCTTTGTTTGCAGTAGAGGGATCAAAGATTAATCTTCTGGTAACAGGCACTGCTTTGGCATTAGAGAAACAGAAATGATTTTTAAAATAAAACCAAAGAGGTATAAGTTCTCCATCACGTATCAAGGCAAATACTCATTGATTTAATGAAGTGCAACTATGCCAAGGAAAAGAGAGGTGTGATGCTAAGAATGGATCATTTCCCTGGAAAGTAAAATAAGCATAATTCAGTGGTAATTGAAAGTCGACAGATTCTAAGTGCTACTCATTACCTTTGAAGTACAGATTTGCATATTCTGCAGCTCTTATTAAATTACATGTATACATATATTCCAAATGGGTTCACTATACAATAGAAGCTTTAAACATGAGATCAGAAATCCTTACTCATCAAACAAGATGCATGACAAGCAGTTGAACATCACAGATACAAACCTTTTCTGTCAGTGTCATATGTTAGTAGTAGTAAGGTGAAAACAAAGCATGATAGATAAAGCATCAGATTGGGAAGATACTAGTACTGCTGCAGAAGGTCAAATCTTTCAGAGATGAAGATTCTCCCACCACCCCCCCCATTTATCTTTAATAAATAACGGAGCAAAGCAATAGTCATATTATTTTTATAACTCATTCACATGGTTCAAATCAGTTATTCTCCAACTCTATCTCTTGCAAACAACCTAATAGCAAATCTTTTGGTCAAAGCCCATTTATTGGAAGAATTTAAAGAATACCATGTTAGAGGAGCCAATGGAGTTGTTCCTGGGGTTTGGGGGAATTAGAGCCCCACTCCCACCTCTCAGAGGTACTTAATAGAGATGGCAGTGGGTGGGCAGATAAGGGGTATCCCGAGATCCATAGAAATATAATGATCCCATCTGTCTTTGATGGGTATTTCCATTTTTTTTTAAAAAAAACATTTTCCAGCTTATTTTTCCCCTTAATGATTAATTTTCAGTCTAGTTCTTATTACACATGAATTTATTTTTTTCTGGGACTTAACATTAAAAATTCACCTAGGGAGGTCTGATGGGTTGCAGTGATTAATACTGAAGGGAAAAAAAAAATCTCAGTTATGGAACAGCTTTCCTAAGTAATAGCTTACCTAAGAAAGTATTTGAAATGTACTCAGACACCTGGTTCCCTGATCGGCTCATTTCTGAGAGATGTGTCAGCTCCCGGTTCAGCATTCTTTTGAACTGTTTATAAAAAAACAAAAATGAATTAACCACTAGAAAAGCAGCAACTTATCACTTTAGATATTTCCTGCTTCACTAAGAACGAAGAATTGCATGAGCAATTACCATTAGATAAATAATGCTGTTTCTACAAAATACAACATCCCCTTGAGAATATGAAATTATTTCAGCGTCACCTTAGGAAAATAAAGGTTTTCTTAAGATTTCTTAGAATTAACATCTGATTTCTTTTGAAAATGCAAACATAGGGAAAGGAAGTTGAATAGAAGTCAAAATAATTTTACTTGAAAATGTAGCTACATTTTCAAATACATTTAAATGTAAATTAATTCTAATATATAATTTGAGTTAATAATCTATATGGTGAATAGCAATTCTATAGGGAAAGTTTAAGGGAAAATGGAGAAAAAGAAGCATCCTTTAAAAGTAGAGCTGCATAAAAAGAATAGGAATAAAATACAGCACAGTATATTTGAATACAATGTAATACAATAAACTCTTATTTCACAATCAGCAGCCTCTGTGGGCTAGTGACAACACAATGAAATCATTACAGATGTTTTCTACTTCACAGAAAACATACAGATGTAAATGTTGCACATTCTATCAACGACACATAATAGAATCAAATTAACCCACCTTGATATAACCCCAAGATACAGATAACAAATAGTTTGCCTCAGGCATTTTGGAATGCTCTCCTTGCCACAATCCACAAATCGCTTTGAAAGAATTCAGTCTGAGAGAGCAATCCCAAAAGGGTCAGGAAAGTCTTGCAGATTCAGTGGTAAAATAATCAAAACTTATGAAAGACAAGCCTCCAGAACTTAGGGCATTTCCTAAAGCAAACAAAGCCCATCTTCTCACTCCATTCTTGTAAGAAGCCTATGCTCCCTGCTTCTTTCCGGGCAGGGAGAGTAATGAAATCAAGATTTGCACGAAGAGCAAGAGCCTGTCCAAATGCATTCAGCTGGCTGCTTTGCAGCACTAGGAATTACGAATAGTTCTGGTGGCCGAAGGGGTTTCCACTCTAGATTAGTCCTGCTCAGCTGAACTCTGCAAGGAAGGAGCAAATCTTCTTTCCTGAGGGGTTGCCAGAGTAGAAAACACAGCCATCTTTTAAAAGGAGAAAATTAAAATGGAGGAAGCCCCATGAATATTTAAGTAAATCCGAAGGAGGTACCCTCCCCCATTTCAGCTAGGTGTTCCTTAACCCTCTCTCCTCTGCAGAGACCAGATCTCTGCAGAGGCAGACTCCACACAGAGCTCAGTCACACTAATGGTTTCAAAGTGATGGCGTGTTCGATTAATTTGCTTTCTCAACATTAAAAAATTAGAAAAAAAGCTTGTACAGTGGCTGTTTTCAGGTTTTTTTTTTTTAACTGGATTTTTGCAATTTTTTTTTTTTTTTTTGCACACCAACAATGTGTCTGTCTTGGTGCACAATGACAGAAATGAGAATAGAATTAATTTATTACAGTGTAAATGGACTTCATCACAGAATGCAATTTTCTGCACTCCCATCAGCTCATTCATATGCATTTAGATTGCTTTCAACAAATGAATTAAACACATCTAACCTTTGATCTAATATCTAGAGTGTGTTAGGAAACAAGCTATCATTTGCCCCAAGAAAATGGTCAATCTGGGGGACTGTAAATGATTATGCTCTTCTGTTATCTCCGTGTTATATCTTCTAATTCATGTTAGAAACATTTAGGAGTTACATTAATTTTTATTTTATTTTAGCATTCTAGAGTATGTTGAGAGAGTCGTTCCTTTCCTGTAAACCCTCAAATCTTTTCTTTCTCCCTCCCTCCCATAGCACCCCATCTTGTTAGCTTAGAGAGAGCACAGGCAAGAGCCAAGACTTATATTAGTCCTACTGCAGGGGGGTTCCCTACCCAGGCCCACCCCATTTTCCTCTTTCTCTCTCCCTAGATTCCCAGGAGTTGAGTACAGCATATTAAAGGAATAGCAAGCGCCATGGCAACAGTCCCCACGCACAATTGGCTCTCTTTCCTGCAAGGCATTCCCCTTTCAAATGAGCATCCTGTACCGACAATGGCTTCACTTCAGGCATCCAAGTTCCCTATCATCCACTGCCTGTGCTCAGGAGACCAGGCCTTTTGAGGTAAAGCCAATACAAGTCAATATTGCTGCCTGCTGGCTCATAACACTGTGCATTGTCATCAAAGAGGCACAATCACCCACTTTCTGGGTAACCCTGTTTGCGTGTGGATGTGTTTTCCCATGATACACCATTAGTAACAGTAACCAGAAATGACTGAATTGATCATCTCAGCTAGTGTATTTTATTTATTGAAACTCTATGCAATTTTGAGCTCCAGGTTAATCAAGTAAGTTCCAAATGATTTATGTTTTGAGACATAATGGGTCAGTCACAGAGGCCCATCATTTTCAGTTCTCAAAAGACAGATACCAATAATGACTGATATACTGGAAAAGACAGATTCCTAGATGCTGATTGATCAGCTGAATTTTGCCAAAGAAGCAAAATTTTATTGAATTCTTACAAAGATATCATGTGGAATGCCTTGAAAGAGATGATTTCTTTAATGTTCTTGCACTAGACACAGCCAAAATGTAACATTCAAATAATTGTCCTTATTTTGGTTCCTTTGGTTTCTTTGAAACACTCAGGACTATTTTGGAGTCAATCAAGTTTGGACTAGTACAATAAATCCATCTTATCACGCAGGTGATAAATATTTATTGAACACCCGCATTTTGCCAGGCAAAGAACTGATGATACAGCAGTGAGAAAACAACAAAAAACCCTTATCATGCTTTTAATTAACTTTCACCCCTGTAGAAACAGTTAGAAATTTTGGCATGTTGGTTAACCACAACAGTTAACAGACTAGAGGGAGTGGAGACAGCTCTTTATGAAGCACATGGGTCCCTCAGCCAGAATATAGCAACAGCTAGAAATTTAATCATCAAAGACAAGGAGAGGGAACACTTTTTATTTTCTTGTCATTATCTTCCCTTGCCATTGGTCCCTAATTAGACACATCATTAATTAGTCCCACCTGGGAGCAGGGAGGTGGTACTCGCTTACCTACAGGAGATGGAATAAACCAAACTCCTCACCTTTCTGAAATAGTTTACAGAAGTGATCAGTGCAGTCATATAAGTAGTTAACAGATGAATACCCCACCTCCCTCTTTCTTATGTCAAATTGGTTCTTCTACGAGCTTTTGGCTGAGAGTATGGCAATGCCACTAAAAAACAAAGTCATATTAAGGCAAACCATAAAACACACAACATGAACTACGCAAATGGAGGTCACTTAGCGTCAGAAACCAACCCAGTCCTTTAAATGTTGCTTAGCAACATCCACTGGTTTCCTCCTCCCTGAGGGAGGGCCCAACCACACTGACTAAGGCAATCATTGCTCTCATGAAAAGACATTTATGAAGGGCCCACTTATGTTGCACTCTGTACAAACTAAGAAGGCAGATAGGCCTTCATGGAGCAGACAGAGGTATCTTTTACACTTGAGTAATGTAGAGTCTAATTAGCATGACTAGTGCTGGTCTTTGTGATGAGACAAATCAAGGAATGGAATAAGTTGGAACTGTGTTTGAGGTTCAGGCTCCTTCCACACCCCCCTTTTGTAGGAGATCAACTTAGTTGGGTTTTCAGTGTCTTACTTCTAGGTGGAAGTTGTTTCTTTTGAGCCAGAGGCCACCACCATGTAGCAGAAGAATCTTGACTTTCTCAGAGCTCCATAGTAGTCTTGTGAATTCACCTAACTTCTCACATAAAATGAGAGTAATACATGATTTTACGATCTCAGTCCTTAGCCTGAATCTGTCACAATTTCATGATAAATTAGTGGAAATCTCCTATGGTGTGGATATATTATTTACCAGCAGCTAATATTTTACAGAAAACAAACTCTCTCAACACTACTGGGAAAAGCAAAATAGTGCAAATCAGAAATGTTTCGGTCCATAAGAACAAGTCACCAACAGAGGAAGAGAAAGATTTATCATTTCCCTAGAGTTTTAAATTCTAAGATTCTTGGAGTCTCCCTGTCTATTTATCAAGTCTCATGTTCTGGCCAGATAAAAAGTAAAATAGCTCCTGAGTGAAACTGTATCCCAAGTCATTATAGAATTGAAAGGGAATGGACATTATTTACTTTATCAAATGCAGTACAGAAATCTACAAACAGGAACATACTATTTCAAAGAAAAATGGGGCTCCACTTCCTAATGTACACAGAACCTATTTTTCTGCTAAGTATCTGCCTTCACAAGAAAACTCTGTTAGAGTCTACCTAGAAATAATGTCCCCAGAGGAAACGACCAAAGCCTCTTTTCAACACAGACAAGCAAAGTTTGTGAATGAGCCCTTAGTAACACAAATTCCTCCAGTGTTTCCTTAAACTTATATACCCAACAACAAGATTTGTGAACACTGCTAGAAAAGAGAAAGAGATATTCTCTATAGACATGATTCAACATTGTATGCTCAGGATGTATTGTCTGTATAAAATCCTATGTGAATGCCTTTTGAATAGGCTACCTTTAGTAGTGGAAAGTAATTTTTAAAATATAATAGCAAAAGCTGAAATTCAGTTACACTTAATATGAACACTTTGTTTCATGGCTTCCACTTTTCCTTAGCTTCTTCAATGCTACATACAGAGATTATTTTCTGCTGAGCCAATTTCTTCTGAAGTGATGGGATACTTCATCAGGTTTCTGAATTTTTTGTCAGAGGCCTGGTTTGAGCTTTGTGCCAGCATCAAGAGATATCCAGGGACACTCTTTTTTTTTTTTTTTTTTTTTTTTAAAGATTTATTTATTTATTTATACAAGCACTGGGTACAGTCAGAAGTGCGGGAGGGTGAGAGAATTCACCAGAGCCAGAGCGGGGAACAGAACAGGCAGACTGACGAAGTACACTGCTGAGGGGAGCAGCGGGTGCAGCAGGAGAGGTCTGTCAAGCCATGTGGGACCCTC